CAGGGTGCTTTTGCCTCCTTGGTCAGGTTGTCCCCCCCAGCTCTTCTGTCGGGTTTTTACATTCAGTGAAGGATGCCTGGGGGTCTCCTGCCTGCCCCGCCAGAGCTAAAAAGGATGCATTTCAATTATCCCATTTTGTTTGTTCGTTAAACGATGCCGTAAACCCCCAGAGCCGCAAAACTAATCCTCTCCTTTCCTCCTCGTGGCCCTGCTAGTGGAAACATGCTGCAATCCCTCCCGGGCCCAGCCAGCTCGCTGTTGTTTGTCTTCCAGTTGGGCTTCAGCTGGAAGATGAACATAAAAATAATGCAGGGAGGATCAAGCAGAGGAGGGCCAGCCAGATCCTCAGCTGGGCGAGCTGGCGGTGCTCCCAAGCCAGCGCTGGCAATGCAATCCAGCTGCTGACCTGGCCTTTAATTAAATTAATTAGTTATTAATTAATTAAATTCTGCCATCTTTCCCCAAATCAAGTGCTTGCTGCCTGCCCATCAGTGGACAAATATTACTTTTTAATGACACGGTCAGCATCATGACTAGGAGGCAAAGAGCTGAGCTTTCCTCTGGAGGGGTTTGCAAATTATTAGCAAATTAATTGGCAAATTGTGGGTTTAGGAGGTTATAGCAAGTGGCGAGGATGCTATCAGGCTGCACAACAGGAAAGCGCACCAGGAGCAATAGCTCTGAACGTGCAGTGGACATCCAGGTGACATCCCGGGGAGGGCAGGGACAGCGCGGGCAGGAGGGACTGGCAAATTTTTGCCTGTGCAAATGCAATAAATTTGGCAGCAGGGAGCAGAAAACCTGCTACGCTAAGACAAGAGGGGAATGATGGGTGCAAGCTGCAAGTGGGCAAGCTCTTTAAACCCAGGTGATTTTTGCCGTTTTGTAGCAAGGCGATCAGGTGAGTCCCTGTGCAGGCAGCTGCACAGGGTTTAAATTCGGCCGCAGCACCAGGTTTCTGCCTTGCCCAAAAAGCACAGGCAGGGCATTGCTGAGCGAGCTCCATCAGGTGCTGCACCACCTGCCTGCTCCTGCTTTGCTCGGGCAGCGTTGCATCCTGTTTTCCTCTCTCCCTTGGCTTTCGGCACGGGGGAGACTTGCAGTGCTTGGGTGATCAGCGCATGTTTAATAGCTGGCTAACAGCAGCTGCCAGGTCCGTATGTCTGTCCTGCGCTGTGTGAGTCTCTTGGGATGCTATCTCACTATCTACCCTTGAGCAGATGCTACCCCCATGGCACCAGGGCTCGATGCTGTCTTAGATGCTGGCAACAGATTTTTCATCTGCAGGTTGAGCTAACGTTTTCAAACCCTTCCCGCCTTTCCCAGGAGGGAAGAAGAGCTCTTTGCTCCCTTTAAGGTGCTCTGACTCCTTCGAGCAGCTGCAAAGTCTGAGGGAAACATTTGGGGGGGGTGGGGCGGGGTGTCTGTGAGTCCCCATGCTCAGTACCGCCCAGCTCGGCCCCCCAAAAATGGGTGCGATGGGGAGTGGGGCAGGTCTGGCCGGACAGCAGATGTTGCACGCTGCATCCAAGAACCTTCGCATCTGCAGCTGGAATAAATGGCTGAGCGGTGGAGCGGTGCCAGCCCTCCTCCCGCTGTGCTCGAGGGGGGGTTTACGAGCCCTGGGAGGAAGCGCTCGTTAAAGTCTGGGATTTGAGACGATCGTTAGCGGCCAAGCCGGCAGTGTTGTGTAACGTGAGGTAAGGTGCTGCTAGCCAGGGCGCTCTCTGCCTCAGTATTTCCGAAGCGGGGGAGCGCGGTTGCATCCAGCCGATAAGGGAGCAGGAGGAAGAGCCAGGAGGAGGAAACCCAGTGGGAAAAGCAGCTTTACATGGGTTTTTTAAGGAAGCACATGCGGCTTGGTGGGTGGGGATCAGTGGCTGTCAGTTGATAGGGCTGCTTTCACCCGTAACCGCTGTGCCGTGCCAGGATACCCATGGATGGCTGTTTGTCTCAGCCAGGTTTTCCAGCGTCAACAGCTTCCAGTCGGCCCATGGAGCCGTGAAACGGGGTTAAGAGTGGCATTGGGAGGCTCGGGCTGCTCCAAAATGGGGATGTTCTGGGGGTTTTTCAGGGAAGAGGCAAGATGGGGGTGCTGTGGGGGTTTTGCAGGGAAGAGGAGAGACGGGACGTGGCGGGGCAGGTGATGCGGGGCAGCAGGCAGGGCCACGCTAGTTTTTGGCTGGAGGGCAGAGGGTGTGATGCTTGCTGCCCCAAGGACCGTGCACCTATGCCTCTAACCGTGGCAGCTCCGCTCCAAAAAGAAGGGAAAAGATACCTGCCCTCCTGCCCGCTTGCTGGCAGGAGGAAGGATGCGGGTGCTCGCTGCTTGCGACGGTTTAAGGGGGTCCCAGCCGCAGCGGAGGAGTGCATGTCGCTGCAGAGGTGCGGCTGGGGGCGGGGGTGTGGGGGCTTGCTGGGAGCACACTTGGGTCCTCTGCTCACCTGGCTGCCCTGTGCGGAGCTCCTGCCTTTGCTGCTTGCCCTGGCAAACCTGGCTTGAACCACAGTTAGTTTTGCTCAGGTGGCAGCTGGGGAAGGGGAAGGGCAGGGCTGGCGAGCAAGCCAACTACCC